TGGAAGATGGCACAACGTAATGTTATACCAGAAATATCCCCGGGAAGCACCCTGGCTCAACAGGTACATAACAGGGAAATAATGAGGTTTTGTGAAAAGTACTCTTTAAACCAAACGATAATTGATCCCACTAAAAATGAAAATACCTTGGATTTGATATTCACGAACAATGAGGAACTGATCAGAGACATAAAGTTTCCAAAACTATTTACTCTGATTATAACATCATAGAGGTTCAAACTAGTATTAACTCAGGGGTAGGAAACTGCATCGCTAAAGTTAGAGATGGGATGTTCAGTAAGTTTAATTTTAACAACCATAGAATTAACTGGGAAAAAATAAACCAAGAGCTATAAGACATACCCTGGGAATCAGACATGAGTAACCTAAATCCCCACCAGTGCCTAGAGAAGCTGAATACAGAAGCATACAAAGTATGTATGAAACATGTACAATTGAGGAAACCCAGAGGAAGATCAGATATAGAGAGAGAGCGTAGGAGATGGTACAGAAGAGGAAAACAGGTTACTGAACTGCTTTAAAACACAAATATGCTACAAAAGAGGAAAGATAGACTTAGCAGAGCAAAAAATTAGAGCAAAAACTTAGGATGTCATACCTCACAGAAGAAGTACAAAGGGAACTAAAGGCCATACAGGACATTGCAAGAAACCCAAAATATTTCTATTCCTACACAAAATCCAAGCTAAGAACTACATGTAGAATTGGACCACTACTGAGAGGAGAATCGTATACTGACGACGAACAGGAAATGAGTGAAATCCTAAAAGAACAGTACGAGTCAGTGCTCAGCAACCCACTAAATGACAGCAAGGTAGAAAATGCAGAAATATTTTTCACTCCAGAAGAAGGCCGCACAGACCAACTAACTGACATTAGTACAAATCCCATAGATTTCGAAAAAGAAATGGAAAACATGCCCACTCACTCAGCACCTGGACCAGATTCATGGAATGCTCTATTTATAAAGAAGTGCAAAGCACCAGTAGCACGTGCCCTCAGTATTCTTTGGAGAAAGGCTTAGATCTAGGTGAAATACCGGAGGCCTTAAAGAGTGCAGACATAGCTCCTTTGCATAAGGGAGGCAGTAGAGCACTAGCTAAAAATTACAGACCAGTAGCCCTAACCTCTCACATCATAAAAATCTTTGAAAGAGTGATGAGACAGAAGGTTACAAATTTCATGGAGCAGCACAACCAACATAACCCGAACCAGCATGGTTTTAGAGCAGGACGATCGTGTGTGTCACAGCTGCTGAACCATTATGGCAGAATTGCGGAGGCACTGGAAGATGACCAAAACGCAGATGTGATTTACACAGATTTTGCAAAGGCGTTTGACAAATGCAATCATGGAGTGATGGCGCACAGAATGAAGGCCATGGGCATTATGGGGAAGGTAGGCAGACGGATTTTCGGTTTCCTAACACACACAACACAAAAAGTAGTAGTGAACAGGGCAAGATCCAGCATCAGCGAGGTCAAAAGCTCAGTGCCCCAAGGCACTGTCCTGGCACCTCTGCTGTTCCTCATCCTCATAGCAGACATAGACAAAAATACCCGGCACACTTTTGTATCATCATTTGCAGATGACACTAAAATAAACATGAAAGTCAGTATGATAGAGGACACTGAAAAAGTACAGGAAGACATAAACAGGGTTTTCCAGTGGGCAGTGGAAAACAACATGACGTTCAATGGTGATAAGTTCCAGCTGCTTAAGTATGGAAAGAATGAAGAACTCAAAAGGAGCACTATATACAAAACCCAAAGAGGGTCACCAAATAGAACGTAAGGAGCACATAAAAGATCTAGGAATAATTATGTCAGCGGACCTTTCTTTTAAAGACCATAACAAGACAAAGATCACGACAGCCAGGAAGATGACTGGGTAGGTATTGAGAACTTTCAAAACAAGGGAAACAATGCCGATGGTGACACTCTTCAAATCGCTAGTGCTCCCTCACCTAGAATATTGCTCATTGCTGATGGCCCCGTTCAGGGCAGGAGAATTATTGGAGCTGGAACAAATACAGTGATCGTTTACGGCTCACACTGAGCCAGTAAAGCACCTGAACTACTGGGAACGCCTACAAGTCTTGAACATGTACTCATTGGAGCGGAGGAGAGAGAGGTACATGATAATATATACCTGGAACGTGCTTGAGGGCTTGGTCCCAAACTGCACACTGCCATAACATACTGGAGTGAGAGATATGGAAGGAAGTGTAAAATAAACCCAGTGAGGAGCAGGGGTGCGGTGGGGACAAAAAGGGAACACACTATCAACATCCGGGGTCCCAGACTTTTCAACGTTTTACCAGGAGATATCGGAAACACTGCTGGAACAAGTGTTGAAGCCTTCATGAGGAAACTAGACAAGTATCTTCACCAGGTGCCAGATCAACCAGGCTGTGATGGATATGTGTGGGCAGCGGGCCTCCAGCAGCAACAGCCTGGTTGACCAGGCGAGCACCAGACGAGCCTGGCCCATGGCCGGGCTCAGAGAGTAGATATACTCTCGAAATTCTTCAAAGGTATACCAGAGGTAAGGTATGCACTTTTGTAAAGGTAAAGGTACATATATACACAAATTTTGTCACACATCCAACTGGTCGGTCTAATACAGGGGAACCTTGGTACTCGAACAGCTCCCTACTCGTACAAAGCTCAGCACTCAACCAAAAAAACACGACCTGCCATAACTTCGCTGTAAACTATTTCGCTTTTCTTCACAATTTTTTTTTTTTTTTTTTTGTGTATAAATAAGTCACCATGGGGCCTACAAAGATTAGTGTAACAGCCAACCATAAAGAAAATTGGGTGGGAAGAATTTGATACTCGACCGGATCGGCACTCAAACAGCTTTCTGGAATGAATTAAGTTTTGAGTTTTGAGGTTCCACTGTACGGATTCATGAATTCACTGACATTATTTATACAATTATTACAGTAATGTAGTAGTCTGCATAGCAGTAACTCTTATATTTTTTGTGCGAATAAAAATTTAAAATGGAAAGCAAGCATAATATAGGAGAGTCCTGGGGATGTAACTAATGAACAGAAATTTTTTTTAGTTCCAGGAATGTCCACGTTGTTTATTCTGGATCCTATATTTAAATTGGCATTTTTTTCATTTTGTGTGAAATTAGCTGAATTTCTGAGTAGTTGAAATGGGTGAATGGGCAGTTTCTTGTACATAGTCGATAGAATAAGAAAAATACTGGTGAAATAGCTATGAGTTTGGCCGACTTGAAGAATGGAATTGGCCAAAATAGGGTTCAGATTGAGCAAAATTGCCAATGCGTAAATATCGCTGACATCTCGAGAGCATAATTCCATGAGTTTTCCATCAAATTTCGTACTTTTTAGTTTCATTACCTTTGGAAAAAGTGTGTCATTTCATAAGAAAAATAATTTTGTTTAAATTCTTCGACCCTGAGAGCAAGTATAAGATCAGGGCTCTCGACTCTGAAAGGGTTAATCACACAAAAGTAGATGATATACTCTACTTCTCAGATAATAAAATATAATTAAGAATGATTGGTCATAGTTTACAGTGTGCCAATAATTGAATTAGATCTCTTGAAACAGATTAGGGGATATAGGGGTGGGGGGCCTTACCCATCCTCAGGAAAATCAGCAAAAACATAATATTTCTGCTACTTTGAGCTTAATTTCAAACTACTTCCAGTCCTGAAACAAACCAGAATCATCTTATTTCAGTAATATGTCTTCCAGTCTATCAAATGATACCAAGAAACAGCTAGTTAAACCATAAAAGCCATCCCAGGAAACGCCTTAGTCACTCTTTTAAACCATACACACACAGTTTTGCTTTTCCCATCATGCACCACATTAGGCAGAATTTTTCTTGTACTGTGCACCCTTGTCGCACAGACCCATTCTCTCATATCTAGGCCAAAATTTTTAGCTCACAGCTCTTGAGCAAGCTGAGCTCATGACGTAGAAATACGTGAGGGACCCTGGCTTCAACGACGCAGTTCTGTGATGGCCATTGAAAGGGTTAAGTAACTGAATAGCTTCAAGGCTGAGAAATTGATTATCTCATCTTCCACTGTCTCTGTATTGAATTGGAAAAGCCACTATTTGGTGATATACCTCAAGATAAAGATACCCAGGTGTTGCATGTATGTGAATTGTTTCATTTATAAGTGGATATGTGTTATTCAGTACATTAGTAAGTGTGGATGGGTGTAACTTGGTGCGTATGTAATTGTAGATGTGTGTAACTTGGTATGTTTGTTAGTATAACTTCATGCACTTGTACCATGATGCATTTCTAAATGTAGTTGCGAGTAACTTGGATCATTTGTAATTGCAAATATGGGCTCTTTGATGCATTTGTAAATTGGGTACCTCCATTATTTTAAGTGCTCATTTTACATAACAGTATAGTTATTAAATTCAGACTAAAATACCAGGAGCAAGGGGCTAGTAAACCCTTCTCGTGTATACATTACTAAAGTTAAAAAGAGAAACTTTCTTTTTTCTTTTTGGGTCACCCTGTTTCGGTGGGATATGGCCGGTTTGTTGAGAGAATAATAATTTAGGCTACAATATGATATTCAGTATTGTGTGTATACTTCCAGTAAACACTGTATAATGAAGTGTGATTATTAAACTGCATACACAGGACTCTGATAAAAATTTGTAATTATGATTTTGAACTTTAAATTGATGCCTCACTGTTTTTGCATACCTTAGTTATGATGATTTCATACATTTCCAAAGATATCTCTAGATCTAAACATATATTTTGTCCCACTTACAGTGAACCACTATTACCAGTGTAAATGACTTATGAAGTTTTAACTCAGTTACACCACTGCCTTCCATGCTCTTCTGTTATTAACTGTCTGCCATAAGGGATTTACCTCAGGCCTGGACTGCTCTCTGAAAGCCATTCTATTGACACACTTTGAATAAATGCCCTAACTGTATCCTTTCCCCATTGCAGCTGATTACATGTCCTAGACTTCCAATCTTCACACAGGTAGGTTTAAAAACACGTTCCCTGTTATTCATATCTGCATTTGAACTTGCACTTTCTCTAACGAGGAGAAAGATGAAGAATTAACAGGTTACCCCTGTTTAGCCCCTAAGATGTTCATCGCATATCAGTACCTCATAGTGATCAGCGTCCATGACAAACTAATGCGTATAATTCATAGAGCCCTCAATTATGCTGTGAAAGGCAAATTTTGAGCTTATGTGATGGGTGTGTACCATATAAAAAAATTCTTACTCTATGCATTAGATTAGCTGTTCCCGTGATGAGAACAATAACCTCTGATCTGCTTTGTTAAAATAGCAACTTTGGGAGTGTTTTTAGGGTGGTTTTCATGGTATTATTTGCTCTCTTGGTTCCAGTAAATACAACAGAAATGGAATGAAATAGATGTCAAATTGGCAAGAAATGGTATATTTTTGCCAAACATTTTCCTAGGAGAAGTGTAAGGGCATCCATACCCCTCCCATATGTTTTATAGGTTTTTGCTAGGTCTGCTTCATTTACTGGTATGATCTAAACCATGATGATTTATGGGCCAAGAAATAAGGTAAAAACAAATGATCAATCTTTTTGTGTTGTGAGGCCTGGGGATATAGTTAATGAACAGAGAGACAGTTGCTGTGTTGTGTCTTGAATTCCTTCACTGTTTGTTTAAATTGGAATTTGTTGAAAATAGTATGAAATTTACCAAATTTCTGACTTCTTGGAACTTGTGATCAGTGGTTTTGAAAGCCAACAAGTTGAAGATTGAGACACGCAACATATGGGAGTCTTTATTTAGGAAACGTTTCACCACACAGTGGTTTCATCAGTCCTATACAAAGTAGAAATGGGTAAGGATAGGAGGAGTTTGAGGTAATCAGTCCCTCAGCCTGGAATCGATATGTTCAGTCCATCACTCTTGTAGAAAGTGCAGCATATGGCTGGAGAAGTGGCTTATATACTGCAGTCAGGTGAGTCAAAGCAGGAGGAGGCGGGATCATAGTGGGACCCTCCACTAATCTAAGTAGGTTTTCGTCCAAAGGTTGGACAAGTATTAAAGAATTCAGTACTTGTCCAACCAATTGTGGTAGGGGACCTAAATGCTAAAGTAGGAGAAACATTTAAGGAGGGTGTGGTAGGTAAGTTTGGGGTATAAAGTGTAAATGATAATGGGAGCCCTTTGATTGAACTTTTTATAGAAAGGAGTTTGGTTATAGGTAATACATATTTTAAGAAAAAGAGGATTAATAAGTTTACAAGATACATGTACCATCCGACTTACGACTAAGTTCAGTTCTGACAAACTGGTCATAAGTCGAAATGGACGTAAGTCAAACCTTACTAATGAATATCAACTCCTTTTGGTTGGTACAGCAACCACCCAGGAAGTACTCCCGTCCTCCCAGATGGACTGTGGAAACAAAAACCTGTAAACTGTTTTGCATGATGGTAGGATTGCTGGTTTTCTTTTTCTGTCTCATAAACACGCTAGATAACAGGGATATCTTGCTACTCCTACTTACACTTTGGTCACACTTCACAGACACGCACATGCATATTTTATATATATAATACATCTAGGTTTTTCTCCTTATTCTAAATAGCTCTTGTTCTTTTTTATTTTTTTCTATTGTCCATGGGGAAGTGGAAAAGAATCTTTCCCCCGTAAGCCATGCGTGTTCGTTATGAGGCGACTAAAATGCCGGGAGCAATGGGCTAGTAACCCCTTCTCCTGTTTTACATTTACTAAAAAAAAGAGAAAAAAAAACTTTATAAAACGGGTTGTTTAAATTTTTGCGTGGATGTAAATGCGGATGACAAGAAACAGATGATTGCTGATGTTAAAGAATGAAAAGAAGTTGGATGTCCTGGCTCTAAGCGAAACAAAGCTGAAGGGGGTAGGAGAGTTTTCAGTGGGGGGAAATAAATGGGATTAAATCTGGAGTATTGAGAGGTTAGAGCAAAGGAAGGGTAGCAGTAATGTTAAATGATCAGTTATGGAAGGAGAAAAGAGAATATGAATGTGTAAATTCGAGAATTATGTGGATTAAAGTAAAGGTTGGATGCGAGAAGTGGTCATAATAAGCGTGTATGCACCTGGAGAAGAGAGGATTTCAGAGGAGAGAGAGAGATTTTGGGAGATGTTAAGTGAATGTTAGGAGCCTTTGAACCAAGTGAGAGAGTAATTGTGGTAGGGGGCCTGAATGCTAAAATAGGGAAAAAAACTTTTTTGAGAGGGTGTGGTAGGGAAGTTTGGGGTGCCAGGTGTAAATGATAATGGGGCCCTTTTTATTGAACTTTGTATAGAAAAAGGGGTTTAGTTATGGTAATACATATTTTAAGAAAAGAGGATAAATAAGTATACACGATATGATGTAGGGGGAAATGACAGTAGTTTGTTGGATTATGTATTAGTAGATAAAAGACTGTTGAGTAGACTTCAGGATGTACAGTTTATAGAGGGGCCACAGATATATCAGATCACTTTCTATTTTGTAGCTACACTGAGAGTAAAAGGTAGATGGGAACAAGGAGAATAAAAGCATCAGGAAGAGAGAGGTGAAGGTTTATAAACTAAAAGAGGAGGCATTAGGGTAAGATATAAACAGCTTTTGGGAGGATAGATGGGCTAATGAGAGCATAGCAATGGGTCGAAGAGGAATGGGGTAGGTTTAAAAATGTAGTTTTTGAGTGTTCGCAGAAGTTTGTGGTTACAGGAAAGTGGGTGCAGGAGGGAAGGGGAGCGATTGGTGGAATATGATGTAAAGGAGTAGTAAGGGAGAAAAAGTTAGCATATGAGAAGTTTTTACAAAGTAGAAGTGATGCAAGGAGGGAAGAGTATATGGAGAAAAAGAGAGGGGTTAAGAGAGTGGTGAAGCAATGTAAAAGAGAGCAAATGAGAGAGTGGGTGAGCTGTTATCAACAAATTTGTTGAAAAAAAGAAAAAATTTTGAGTGAGATTAACAAGTTAAGGAAGCCCAAGAGAACAAATGATTTGTCAGTTAAAAAATAGGAGAGGAGAGTTATTAAATGGAGAGTTAGAGGTATTGGGAAGATGGAGGGAATATTTTGAGGAATTGTTAAAAATTGATGAAAATAGGGAAGCTGTGATTTTGTGTATAGGGCAAGGAGGAATAACATCTTGTAGGAGTGAGGAAGAGCCAGTTTGTGAGTGTGGGGGAAGTTCGTGAGGCAGTAGGTAAAATGAAAGGGGGTAAGGCAGCCGGGATTGATGGGATAAAGATAGAAATGTTAAAAGCAGGTGGGGTTTATAGTTTTGGAGTGGTTGGTGCAATTATTTAATAAATGTATGGAAGAGGGTAAGGTACCTAGGGATTGGCAGAGAGCATGCATAGTTCCTTTGTATAAAGGCAAAGGGGATAAAAGAGAGTGCAAAAATTATAGGGGGATAAGTCTGTTGAGTGTACCTGGTAAAGTGTATGGTAGAGTTATAATTGAAAGAATTAAGAGTAAGACGGAGAATAGGATAGCAGATGAACAAGGAGGCTTTAGAAAGGTAGGGGGTGTGTGGACCAGGTGTTTACAGTGAAACATATAAGTGAACAGTATTTAGATAAGGCAAAAGAGGTCTTTGTGGCATTTATGGATTTGGAAAAGGCGTAATGACAGGGTGGATAGGGGGGCAATGTGGCAGATGTTGCAAGTGTATGGTGTGGGAGGTAGGTTACTGAAAGCAGTGAAGAGTTTTTACGAGGATAGTGAGGCTCAAGTTAGAGTATGTAGAAAAGAGGGAAATTTTTTCCCAGTAAAAGTAGGCCTTAGACAAGGATGTGTGATGTCACCGTGGTTGTTTAATATATTTATAGATGGGGTTGTAAGAGAAGTAAATGCGAGGGTCTTGGCAAGAGGCGTGGAGTTAAAAGATAAAGAATCACACACAAAGTGGAGTTGTCACAGCTGCTCTTTGCTGATGACACTGTGCTCTTGGGAGATTCTGAAGAGAAGCTGCAGAGATTGGTGGATGAATTTGGTAGGGTGTGCAAAAGAAGAAAATTAAAGGTTTAATACAGGAAAGAGTAAGGTTATGAGATAACAAAAAGATTAGGTGATGAAAGATTGAATATCAGATTGGAGGGAGAGAGTATGGAGGAGGTGAACGTATTCAGATATTTGGGAGTGGACGTGTCAGCGGATGGGTCTATGAAAGATGAGGTGAATCATAGAATTGATGAGGGAAAAAAAGTGAGTGGTGCACTTAGGAGTCTGTGGAGACAGAGAACTTTGTCCTTGGAGGCAAAGAGGGGAATGTATGAGAGTATAGTTTTACCAACGCTCTTATATGGGTGTGAAGCATGGGTGATGAATGTTTTCAGCGAGGAGAAGGCTGGAGGCAGTGGAGATGTCATGTCTGAGGGCAATGTGTGGTGTGAATATAATGCAGAGAATTCGTAATTTGGAAGTTAGGAGGAGGTGCGGGATTACCAAAACTGTTGTCCAGAGGGCTGAGGAAGGGTTGTTGAGGTGGTTCGGACATGTAGAGAGAATGGAGCGAAACAGAATAACTTCAAGAGTGTATCAGTCTGTAGTGGAAGGAAGGCGGGGTAGGGTCGGCCTAGGAAGGGTTGGAGGGGGGGGGTAAGGAGGTTTTGTGTGCGAGGGGCTTGGACTTCCAGCATGCATGCGTGAGCGTGTTTGATAGGAGTGAATGGAGACAAATGGTTTTTAATACTTGACGTGCTGTTGGAGTGTGAGCAAAGTAACATTTATGAAGGGATTCAGGGAAACCGGCATGCCGGACTTGAGTCCTGGAGATGGGAAGTACAGTGCCTGCACTCTGAAGGAGGGGTGTTAATGTTGCAGTTTAAAAACTGTAGTGTAAAAACACTCTTCTGGCAAGACAGTGATGGAGTGAATGATGGTGAAAGTTTTTCTTTTTCGGGCCACCCTGCCTTGGTGGGAATCGGCCAGTGTGATAATAATAAAAAAAAAAATTTTGGTATTTCATTTTTTATTTACTTTTTATGCTGTTAGTACTGTAT